GGTTTTGTAGCCATTTTTTATCAGTTAATTTAGAAGCTTATTTTTTTTTATTGCCGGCATTTTTTTAACAGTCCATCGTTTATCTACATTTCGTTTTTTTCTTTGATTTTTTTTTTTTTTAGTTTTTATCTCACCTGAGAAGTCCGAACCCGGAAATATTAATTTGGCAACTAGTAATATGTATGAGTTGTTCGAAAACTGGTTAACAAAATTAAGCAAAAGCAGCAGGAAAAAAACGATTGCTCTTTGTTCTTTTTGCTTCTGTTCAGATATTTTATGATTGAAGTACATGGGTAACATGGGCAATAATAATTATGCAAATCAAAATATGATACTGCTTTGCTGCTATGAAATGATTATTGGGTTTTATGATAAAAATTTATGAATATTTCATTAAAGAAGTTTTTTTTTTTTACAGTTTTAATTTTATTACTTTTTTTTTTTTTTTTATCAGTTTTCTCTATTTTAACATAGATAAAAAAGGGCAAGACTCTTAGTATCCTACAGAAACTTAGCATAAATTTTTATAGTGATGTTTATGTGGTTGTTAACTAAATGTTTTAAAGTGAGAAGAAAATATGTAAAAGCTAAAACCGGAAAACCAACCTATTGAATGAAGGTACAGCAAACAGTTTGTTGATACATTAATTTTAAACGTTGGCCACCTTTAAAGTACACTTTACAAATTTTTGGTTATTGCTAAAAGAAAAAACTGCGCTTTTTTGAACGGAGCAGTAAGAAATAATGAATAAAATATAATTAAAAGCAAAAGATAAAAAGTGGGACAATTAAATGATAATATTACAGAATATCTTTTTTTTTTCTTTTTCTTTTTTGGTTACTCATAGAACTGTTATGTTAAGAACAGTTGATCTATGAATCGCACAGTCGAACGCCTTATGCCTGTTGGACTGTTTGTTAGAAAATCGTCTGCTTGAAGACTAAACTTTTTAGACAGTCCATCATTTCAGAAAAAAATAGCTTATTTTAACTGTAAACTTCACAGTATGGTGTAATGTGGTCAAGAGTTTTATGTCAAGAAAAAAGAAATTCAAAAAATTTGGTTTGCTGATTTCTAATCACCATTATAATTGGGTTTGTCTGAATGTTGTTTAAGCTTAGTTATACGTCTAGTTGTTGGAAATTTTTTTTTTTAATTACAGATAATTAAATACTTTGTCTGACTTTATATGTCGCTATAGAACGAAAAAACATTCATTTTTTTAGAAACTTCTATCGGTCTAGGCAATATTAGTGGTCGTTTGAATGCTGAGAGATCAATTAAGAAGTCTACTGTTAGCTCAAGATTGATGATGTTTGGTGGAAGAAGAGCCTAAGTTAAGAAGCTTGATATTTTCATTGAATTGATATTCAAGTTTAGCATTCTGGTTAGTTTAGCTTTCTGTATGCTTTTTCGCAACTGTGAGGCAAAAAATTTTAATTAGATATATTGTATAGTTCTCTTAGCTTTTTAGTTTTTTTTTATGACACTGCTTATCTGTTTATGTTTTTCGACAAATATCACTACCTCCTTTACTCTTTTCTCTCAAATTATTAGGAAGCCGTTCAGAAAAAAAAAAAAAGATTAGATGGTTTTATGAAGAAAATATTGCCGCTTTTTCAGGGAAATTGGTTATGCTTGAACACTTTTTGGTTCTCAAGTTTGGTCTTGTAAACAAGCTTACCGTTTCAATGAAACCTTAATGTCGCATCCAATTTTAACTATGACTTATTTACGATTATGCCAATTTTAAGGCAGAAAAATTTTGGCTCAGCGCATAGTATTAAAAATGATAGCCTTCTTTTCTTACCTGCAAACTTCTTGGTTTCCGACTTGAAAACACTATTTGCAATATGGAAGGGACCTATCTGGGTGTTGCCGTTGGAAAATTTTACTTTAACATGTTATTCTTCAATGCTTTTTATGAGAAACCTTGTAAAGTAAAACTCTGAAGACGTTGAACGTTGTTTTTCTCATAGAATTTTAGACTAATAACATGGAAACCTTCATAGTCGAATATGTGGATGAGGGATTTTAAATGTAAAAACTTTTATATGTTATATAGTCTTCACTGATCGTTTCTTAACATTTTAGGTATTCTTTACAGTTCTGTTAATTTGAATAGATGCAGGAGAAGGGAGAATGAGAGCAGTTTCTGACATTTATATAGTTCACGCACATTTTGCAATTTCCATTGTGTTTATGAATTTATGAATTTAAATATTTGTCTAAATGATCCATATAAGCAAGCAGAATGGCATGGCACTTTTTTTCTGTTTTTATTGCATGAATTAAAAATGGAATTGAAACATCTGTTTTTCCACTGTTTTGCTATTATATTATATGTGTTTTGTGCTCATAAGAGATTGCTCAGCGGAAGTTCAAAATCTGAATAATTAAGTGAGAATAAGAAGAAAAAAGGAAAAGAAATATTAAGTGTGTTACCATACACAGATTTTTCAAATATTTTCACAATGTAAAGTTTATTACCAACAGAACCATAATTATCGGTATCATTACTATCTCTTTGTTCCTTAACACAGTGATCATTACAGGGACAATGATACACGTTGATAAAGTTTCAACTGTAACTTTGAGCATTTAACAGGGAAAAAATTTGAACAGTGCAAACCAGTCACCGTTACTGTGTAACGTATAGAATAAATTTGGATAATGCTTCATCACCAGGGTTAGAACTGTCTGAAATAGATTGTAGAATTTAATCGCGGAAACACAAGTTGGTTTACGACGTTTTATCATTCTCTCATTTTTCTTAACTTTAGTTTATTTGTAGCCAAAGCAACTTTTTTAAACTAAAAAAAGATGAGGAAATTTCAGTTCCTCAGCATGGCTGCAAAAGCGTGTAAAAGAAAAGTGATTTTTTTTTTCTTACCTGATCGTCATCAACTTTTCGTTCATCTAATAGATCCATAAATGTTTTATGATAAAATCGGTAGAATCTATTGATTGCTTCAACATCGCCACCGAAGAAACCACCACTGACAACAGACCAATCTACACGGTAGAGATCATTGATCGAGTACCTAACATCCAAAGATGATAAATTTGTTTGGTGATTGAACTTTTACTTGAAAAACTTAATATAATGTAGTTGGTAGTCTGTTTTTCCTTTTTACTTTTTTTCTTTCTGAAAGTACTATGGATCGTCGATAGAGTTTTACGGTAGAATGACAGTACAACAACTACAACAATCCAGCCATTTAACAGACAAATCGAATACTGCAGTGAACCAGAAATGATGAGGAGAGAATGACTGATGTTATAGTTTACCTTCCAACTTTATCATACTCAGGAGTCATCTTAATAACTGTTATAAATCCGTTTGGCAACGCAGGTCTCCAGTTGCAATAAGGTGGCACCACAGACTGATCCTCATGACCTTAACTTAAATTCTTATTCATCTTATAGAAGGAATTTTTAGCTGCTCCTACATTATTTATTCTGTTATTTATAATTTCTCTAAAGTTCAAGTAATTAATTAACCAGTTTACGTCTAACTTAAATTTTAATTGAGCGAAATAAAAATAATGTTTTTAAAATTTTCCTACCATATCCAGCATCGATCCAAGTAAAATAATTAACGCTATATCGAAATTTACTTGTTTGTGTTGCGTTATATACAAAGTATGCTTTGGAGTTAACAACAATATCATAATCAACACTTTTGGATTCCGGATGGTCTTTCATTGCCTGATCAAAACTCCAGTCTAAATAACTATCATTGTTACAAACGTTTTCAGCAGCTAGCACACTTATCTACAAGTCTATTTGAAGCACTAAAAAATTGAAACGAAAAATTAACAGTTTTCAATTTGTTAGGCAGCTTAAGCATAAAGAAAGGTTCGCTACTTTTCCTTTCTTTAATAAGTAGTGAGAGCAATGGATGAGTAGAAAGGAGATGAGTTGATTCGCGAAAAGAAAAGTTAGAACTATGGATTAAATTTAGTAAAAAATTAACACATTGCATATGTCTTCAGAAATAGTTCAAGGAAAAAGCGAAAAGAACTTTATTAAGTCCTTGAAAAGGCTCTCTATTTTGGTGTTTTTCCTTCTTAAAAAAAAAATTTGGCAGCGCATTCATTAATATCAACAAGCTTTATTTTTGATTTTAACGCTACTGGTGACACTTCTACAAAAAAAAGAACATAAATGATGCTTCCTAACTGGCTATACGTGAAGTAAGAAAATTTATAAGCAGATAATACAAACTGTTTTGTTCATGTTCGATAATTTGCTTCATTTCATCTCGATACCTGTACAGAGGAATATCTTGAATGGTCATTTCGTGAATCTGTAATAGATTTTTATATTACAGTTAAGATCAGACTATGACGATACTTCAGACTGATAACTCAGTGTATTATAAGAAAATTTACAGAAATATACGCAAAGTTTCTGAGGAATATTTACAAAAAAAGTAATTAGTGTTTAAAAGTTTTGAATAAAAACCTCTGTATTCTTCAGATGTCTTCGCTGTCGGACAAGTTTTGCCCCTTCAGCGTCTGTGAAAATCACCATTCGATTCTTAAGCTTTAGCAGTTTTATCATATAGACCAAATACTGCTCATAAGAACGAGTATATTTGTACCAGTCGCCGCGACCAATGTCAAATAAAGCGGTTACAACCACCACAGAGCTATGGTCGTAGTAATCATTTTCGTCTTCATGATAATGTTCGTAATAATGGTTATGTTGGTGGTGATGATTCTTGTGATGATGATGATGATGACGATAATGATTATGAGCGTGCTGATGGTGAGGGAGATGATGGGAGGGATGAGTGTTGAGATGATGTTGATTGTAAGGTTGATGAGTAATGAGAACAGTAGACGACACCTAATAAAGAATCAAAAACCATACACATACGAAATTGTAATACAAAATAAAGCTTATAAAAATTTCATAAAGTAAAAGGGGAACGAAATCTAAACATCAATAGAAATTCTGTTACCGTTGACTGAGATGACGATTGTTGTATGGGAATAGTGGTAGGCCCTACAGGTGGATCAATGCCTTGAAGATCTGACAGGTTTTTAATTGAAGCATTTTTCAGCAGTCCCGAGAGCTGTAAATTATCCTTAGAACTGTGGTTAGCATAATTTTCATGAGGTTCTAAAGTTCTGTTGTTTTTATCGCTAAAATCTTTTGATAGCTCGTTGTTTTTCCAGTGATTCCTTTCATCCTTGTGATGAACAGCAAGAGCTTTGCGAGTTTCAGAATTCAATTCAGCTTGTTTTTCACCTGCTAATAAGTTCACAATGTTAACAGTGGTGGTATTTAGATGGTCTAATAGCTTCGGTGCAATTTTTAGATTTTTTGATAAATTTGAGCTATCCGCATAGTTGTTATGGGTTTCCGTTTTTGTATTGTTCGGGCTTGAATAATCGCTGTTTTCAGGCTTGCTTGTAAAACCTACTCTTTCAGTCGACGACAAGGGGTGTTTCTCGATCTCAAGAGTGTTGGGAACGATGTAATTTGGTGGAGCTGAGGCATTAGATTTTATTTCTGAAAGATACTTATGGGTTGAGTAGGCTGATGACGACTGCAAGAGAGGATTTTGCATTGAAGTGTTTTTGGTGGCACTGTTCAGATCTTCTGATCTAAAGGATGAAGACGTAAATACAGCTGGTATTGACTTGGTGGTTTTCTGAGTACGATCAATCGTTACAGTTTTGTTAGACAAAGACAAAACATTTTTTGTCGACGTAAAGAGATCAGGATTTGTTGAGGAGATTGATTTGACTGATGAGGCAGTGGTAACTGGTAAAATAGTATATATGACTTTTGAGGTAGACGTTAAAGTATGGAGATCACCAGTACTTGAGCTACTGCTATTTAAGTCTACAGTTGATACAGGAAACCTGTTAATATGATCACTGACAGTATTTGTTGCCACAGCTTCTACATTGTTTAAACTATAGGCCTTATACGGCACTGTAGAGATTCCGGGTAACTGTTGTGAAGCTGTCTGGAGTTCTTTTAAGCTAGCAGTTGTCGTATCTAAAAATAAATGCTAAAGAATAACAAAAATAAGCATACTTTTTTATAACAAATAAAATTTATAGACAGCTACGTTGATATGTTCGTCTTTCATGGGTTCACAATAAATATAGTAAATGTTTGGTTATGTCTATTAAATAATTTCTCTTAATTTTTTTGTTCAAACTTTAAGTTACCTGAATAGTGATCAACATTTGCACTTAAATTGGTATCCAGATATCCCATATAATAGAGAATATTTGTATCACTGTTTAGTAGATTATAGTCGTTGAATATTAGGTAGCTGAATATCAGGGCGACAAGAAAAGCGATAAGTGAAATACCAAAAAATACGTAGACTACATACTGTTGTAGGTTTTTTTTTGCTACCATTAGTGAACATCCTTCAAAAATTAACAGAAGAAGGATTAGAAGAATTTTCTTTGAAACAAAAAAACGCTGTCAACTGTAATATCGAGTTCATCATAAACATTCAGATTCAAATATTTATGACTTGACATCTTAATCAAAAAAAAGTTTGCAAGTAGCAAACATAATATCGCTAGCTTTCTGCAATAGACAGATGTTCGTTGAAAAATTTTACAGTATCACTGACCAACAGTCACCGAATCAGTCAGTTGTTTTGAAACCGAAAAAATTGCTGTTTGATTCCAACTTCATTTTCTTTCATTTCGAAACATTTTTGAGCTGTAACAGTTGAAACCGATAACCGAGAAGCTGTCAACAGTAAAATGAGGTTTTTATACGGTTGAAAAAAGAAAAAGGTGAAAAAAACTTTTAATATGTATAACAAAACAGATGTGAAAAGGAATAGTCGATAATTGGTTCCGAAGAAGACCGGAACCCGTTAAATGTCAAGTAAATTGAGCTCAGTTAAATATTTGAGGAATGAAATTAACGCTAAAGCTGAGGTTTTCGGCATACATAGGTGCCGTTATGTTCATATGAAATTCGGGCTTCTTATGTATTTGTGTATTACTTTTGCTTTTTGTTTGCTCTTTGCACGACGTTTCGGTGACCCTCTAATTTTCAATTTTTTTTTCATTTTTTTCTTTAACCTCTTTTTTTTTTCCAGTTTTGGCTTTGTTTTTCTAAATTCTAAGTATCTGAATTTTTGGCAGTTTTATTAAAATTTTTCAGTTTATAAACGAAAAAGGTATTTTCAATTATAATTACATAACGTTTTCTAATAAGCAGTAAATGTCAGCATAACGGCTAAAATTTCCTTGTTTGTTTCCAGATCATAACATCGTTCATTTGCTGTGTCATAAAGCAATATGGAAACATTGACAAAAAACGACGGCCTCACTGTTCCTTCCAACGGATGTTACAGAAAGTTCAAGAAAGAAAAGGGAATGAAAAAATGACACAGCCTACTGGCATTTAAAAACTACAATAGACGGTTGGATAGGATTGGAGGAATGTAGGAGACGGATCAGTGAAGGTAAATTTCAGCTACTAAAATAGTTGTGGTTGTGGTCACCAAAAATCATATATATTAAATTGTTGGTCGATTAATTAAAACTGGTTTATCATAAAGCGGCCCGATTTAGTTTTTTGATTTATAACCGGGG